TTTGTGGTATTACACCTCGAATATACTTTACCTCCACAATTCTTGCCTGTGATCAGTTGGCACTTGAAACATGATTTATGCATTCGTCTCTAGATTAGAAGGACCACTACTTTCATACTTCTTGACACCTGTCTATCCAATCAACAGTGACCGCTTGCTGATTAAGGTTCGCTCAATCAACCAAACAACAAACGTGGTCCGACAGTTGGAAACCGCCGTGGTCTTGGGAGCCAAGTTGAAACGGTACCTCATCGATCGTTGATCAATCCGTTTCGACCGGATCAGTTCTATGTTCGAATCACAGCAAACCGACGTCGATGGATACACGTATTCCCGGTGGATGAAATGGTACGAATAGTTTTCTTAAGATTTTGCTAGTTGTGGGAGAACTACAGTGGGAGAAGACGTCATTTGATTTTTTTCATCTTCAAACCGCATCTGACTTTCTAAACCTCTCTTATTTTCTGTTATTTTCATCACTTTTTTCCATTTTCATAGCAACATAGGCATCTTTGTGTACTATGTGCCTCCACGATAGTATTGTTTCATTTTGAGGGCCTGGTTATGCCTATGTTTGTTCTCTGAAGCATGTTTATTTAGGGTCGATCGAAGCTTGCTCATCACTACGTTGATGGAACAAGTACGGTACATATCAATATGATAGACGAAGCTCCACCAGTTGGCAATGAGCTTGAAAAGAAAATTCGCGAAAATGGTTAGTTTTGAATGAACCGTCACAACAACATGGGTGGCATTAATTTTGTATTGGAAAATGTCATATTTGAAAAAGAATCTGGAACTGTTTAACTGAACAAGTATTCTCGCGTGAGCAGCTAGAATACTTGATTTGCAGTTTCCTTTGCAACTTAGTTTTTACCCAGTTTAAGTTTCAGTTTTGGTAGGGAATGAGTGGGTGATCTTATTTAATCTCCTTTTAGATCTCCTAAACCTTCCGGCTTGACAACCTCTTTTTTCACATACCATTTTCACTTCGCATCTTACATCTTTCCTATTGAGCGCAGTAATTTTATAAACACTTGTCAGGATGTCAGAGTCCAATAGGCTATGTGACCGTGTCTAGGCGTAGTTGGTTCACCTTCACGACGCAACGACCGCCCTGATTCTCCACAAACCGCGACTGGACCACCCTCTGAAAGCACAACCAGTACTGCCACTGTCAACATGAAGGCAAGCCTCACATAGAATATCTTTTTTACCTTTATCTTTTACTTCCTGATATTATCTGTAGAACGATGACTTTACTCCTGTGCGAAGAGTGGGCGAAGCAAAGAAGGAACCTACGCGTGTATGGGCGTGGGGATCGACTGGTGAGGAGAAATGGAATCCAGATATGGAAATAGGCATGGATTGGAAATCACTTGTTAGGTATGTTTTGAATGGATAGGTCCTAAATTTTATACCTGCTTTGATCTCTCTTTTATAGATCTGCTCTACTCCCTATTACAACTGATTATTTTCCTGATCGACTTACACTTATAAGTGACTATCTATACACCGAACATCAAATTTCTGTCGTTCAGGAACACGTGAGCTCAGTAAGTTTGTTTTTATTGAGCCTACGACAACTTATTATTGTTTTTCAATTGTTTCTGTTTTTCTGAAGTAAATATGGTTTGAACTTAAGGCTAGAGTGCATGTCTGTATACCAGAGGCATGGCACAACTGTGAAAAGTTAGGTAATAGGTTCGGGCGCTCTTTTTTTTCGCTTGTCAGCCAATCGCAATTTAGTTAGCCTGTACTTCCACCGAGAGGTTGACGATGCGCTTCTTTTTTATTGGATGCATGTGTTTCTTTGTTCTTTTTATCTTCGAAGTTTGTCCTCGATTGAAATTTTAGGGCTCACGTGCAAAAATGGATATAAATCAGTTGTCGAAGCACGTATTCGAACAGCTTATTTGTCAGCGTCTCCAACGAGGATTTCAAATCATTTTGATGTCGAAACCTTTGATCCATGTATGTATGACCTTTGATTGCAACTTGTTTTTGAAAAAATCCATTCATTTTCACAGGTAGCTATCAAACAAAGCTTGTTTGCACCTATCAATACAGAACAAACTGAATGCAGTATGTCGCTAAATAAGGCGAGTGTTTAGATGCAGTTTTTCGTAGTCTATGTTGACCATAAGTGCTAAGTGCCCCTTGTAACTGTTCCTGTTGTTTAGATTGTTCATCGCCTGGTGTTGGTTGGATCTGATATCACTGTGACAGTGTTTTATCCGAAAAGAAGTCGTGAAGCAGATTCCAGTCCATCTCCATCAATGCAGCCATACTCGTACTTCTTCCAGGTACCCGTCTACCCCAACAGTCATCTGGTCCCATGCCAGGTACATTTCATAATTCCACCCAGTCTTTCTCTACGTTTTCCGTGATCAGAAAAATGGATTTCTTCGCCAGTGAGTCCATTTAAATGTTCACGGGTTTTTCGATTGAGCCGATACTATTGATTGGTAACTAGTCCATTTTGGAACCCCTATGTGCCTTTCCGATGTGCATGCGAGACCATATGTCTCGGCCAACGATCTTGCGACGCTGTTATAGTAACATAAAAGAATATTCGAAAGTTTTGGTGATGAGATACCCCTTTGAAAAGATGTTACATCGGAAGTTTGCTTACTCCCCATACTTTCTCTATACCGTAGCTATTTAAAGAATGGGTGAAATGAATTGTTCTGTGCTAGCTGTGATCGTGATTTTTTGATAATAAAATAATATCAATCGGACAGTGAAATAAATAATCATTCTCGTTGCAGGTGCCCGATGCTCAAAGCTACGAAAGAAGTACGACCAGGTTTGTGAACTTGGTGTGGATTTCCTGTACTTGTGTGGTTTTTAAAGTCAACCCTGAACCCTATGACGTGGTTCGACCGCTTAATGTTTGTGCTGAACTTGATTGCTTACGTCAGAAAGTGTTTTTGAGGAAAAGACATGGTCTGAACTCGAGAATCTATCTTAATAGGGATAGCAATGTAGAGACCAAGGATCAGGCTTTGTATGGACATTAAAAGAACATTCACAATGAAGCCTATGATGTGAGTGAAAGGTGAAGAAAACCCTGAGAAAAACCGCTCTGGGAGGCCTTCTAACGATCAATAGGTACATATGGTAAAAGTTTCATAGGAAGTTCTATCTTAGTATTCATTATTTGGCTTGAAACCATGTCCAAGCATATTTTTGCACGACGTATTTTTTGAACAGCTTTACTTTACCACTTTTTTTCTCCAACCATGACTCCCTTCCTGAACGAAGCTTATTACATTAACACAGACAGCGTTTCTTCTCTGCTCCTGCAGTGAGAGACTTCTCGGAAATTAATTCATCACATGAAACCTAGATTGTCACTTGTCATTGTCAGTGACCAGGCTTGACAACGCTTGTATTTCCCGCAACTAATATTTCCCTCTCACTTTTGTCATCGCGACCATAATTGGGCCTGAAAAACCCAGGAAGGCCGCTTAAGAGTTGAAGTGCACGTGTTGCGTATGTGAACCATATTCTTTCTGAATTTGACCAATAATCAAATGTCTAAATTTAGTTTCAAACCTCACAACTTGGACAAGTTGAATTGGAGTTTGTTGGACTGCAATATAAAATACCGCAACAATTCGCAAATGTTCAAAGAGGAGATGAAGAGCTATTCCTCGAGGTGACTTTTTGTAAATTGCATGTCTTAATGAGCGAGTAAGCATTTCGGAACACTTGTATGGGACTGAAAAGCAAATTCTACGTACGTATGTGTCATGTTGTAGTAGATTTAGATTTAGATTTAGATTTTTTTAACATGCGCGAGCACATGTCATTCAATGGAAATAGTACAATGGAAATAGAAAAACACTAAAGCTCACGATGTGCTTTTAGATTTATGTTGGTCCCACAGCCGCAAGTACAAAACATGGTGCAGCGCATGCTCACCGAACATCTGCCAGGAGCTTCATTTCGGTCATCTGACAGCGCACCAAGATCTCCACCCATCTACGACAGCATGATAAGAGTCCTCCTACATATCAATCGACTTGTTCGTCCCACAATCTCCTCGCCAGCTGTCAATGTCACTCAGCGGTATCTCTCACCAAAAGTGGAGCTCACAACGGCTAATCACGACCAGGTGGAGATTTTGATGTTTCGGGTACTCAGTAGTTGGTTGAGAATGAGCCGTAAAAAGGAATGAAGTAGAAAAGATTAATTCGAAAAATTTATCTGACCTATTAAGGCAGCTCTTCGAGAAGAACAAAAGAGATTACGCCTGGCGGTCAGTTCGAAAGACGAGGTACCAAGTTGGGGTCATGGGTTTTGTAAAATCGTCCTGCCAGGCAATGGGTTCGGTGTAGCCTTTCATGTAAGAGATAACGGATTAGGGGATTAGAGGAAGCTATGTGGAAGTTTTAGCCTTTGAACTGTTTGACCACTCCGTCGCTTATTGCCTGAGTTACTCACCCTTACCCTAGCATAATATCAGTTCAGACACTCAGTTTCAGTAATAACTGCGTTTGCATGATCTGGGTGGTCTCCTTTTTCTAAGAGTCTTACCGAATGCTGTTTCAGATTCTGGCGCGTTTCAAACAAAGTGGTTTCGTTGGGATAACAAGCCAGAATACTGCCACTGTGTATCCGCCAAACATGTTTCTGTCGTACGATTTCGTGAATTGGCTCACTGGTGGGCTCTTTTTTTTTGAAAGTTATTCTTTGTAAACTCACTTCAGTGCTCTCTCTACACTGACATTGCTCACATCGTGATATCCGCAGAGTTTCATTTCTTTTGGGAAGACAGTGAAACTCCAAAAATTGATATAGGAGCTTTCCATCAGATTTGCTCATCTTGGGATAGTGCCCTGTGGGCATTGAGATTTGGAAGCGACTAGAAATTGCCTGCTCTCAGGGCTAAACGGGGCTTTCCAGAAAGTTTCAATTTGCTCTTGCGCAAGCAAATCTGCAGATTTCGAAAAAAAAAAAGAATTTCGTTGAGTTACCAAAGCCATGAGCCATATTACAAAACCATTGTATGATATTGAAGAGATTGATAATTTTGATCCGTTGTTTTTAGCTGGAAACGTCAAAGAATTAACGACGCGCGAAAGTGCAGTAGCATTTGCCAACGAATTGGTCGACATGGATGTGATACAAATTGTTCGAGCAAGTGCGTACTTCTTATCTGCATCTTTTTCAAAGTTATTTTCCTTTTCTTTTTTTTGTAATCCGGCAAATTTTCTTTTCTCCGGAATTTTGTTTACAGCCGACGTTGAATATGATGAGTTGGAGTCGTGCATTTCGTCGGAATCAGAAGCACGTCTTTTCTTCTACGGATTCCAGTTGTGCGCCTTTGTCGACACTGAACGTGAACATCCATCATACACTCGGTTAGTTTTAAGGCATATGGCCATTGGGTCAATTTGTTTTCCCTTCTTTACACAAAATTTCTATGACTGTTCCATAAAAGCTTATTGAAATGATTATCACGAACAGAATATGCTTACACTTGATTAGAAAATTGACGAATTCCTCGAGCGGGCTGCTGTGGTAAACACATCAATTCGTAAACAATCGTGTACCGAAGGAGATGACGATCACTGGACGTTGCAGTAGTGTTCCTATTGTTGGTTTCCATCACACCTCACTATTTACCCCTTAAAACTGGCGACAAGATTTGTTAATCGTTCAAAAGCTGAAAACCTACGCTGACGCAAGTGCTTTACTTCTGCTACATGTTTCGGTCTTATTGCTTGGAAGCAAATATCGCCGGTGTTTTCGGAAATTTCATACTGGGTTGTTAGAGGTTTTGGGTTTGGCAGGTCAGTAAATACGTAGTATATTGATCTTCTCTTTGGTGCATGTAGGAGTCACCATTACTGGATCATCATCAATTCGTGTTGTATGGGTGGGGTTTAGTGTGTTGACACGATTTCTTGAAATGGATGCTTAGAAAAAATTCCGAAAGATCACTGAATGGTAGCGTTTCAACGGCATGCCACTTCCTTCTACTCCCTACGATACTTGAAAAAGTACCGTATTTTGATATCACCGCTGAAGTCTAATTCATTTGTTGGCTCAAAAAGTTAATTCGAATTTCAACGATTCTTATAAAGAAAGCATTTATGCTCAGAAACTAGTGATTAAAATTCCAATTTGTTACTACACTTTTGTAGTTTTTGTATGTTACAGATGCCCTTTCCAGGTTTATGAGTGTAGAATTCATTCCCAAATGTGATTCTATCGGTCTTCCTACTGAGTGCCGATTCAAGCAATCGGCGATCGACATCGATTTCGCTCCTCGTGATCCTTGTCCGTTGGGCGAATGGGGAAGAGTAAGTTCAGACTTGCACTTTTTAATATGGAAAACGACCAAAACAATGTTGTTCGAAAATTATTATTAGTGTTAGGTTACGTTAAAATTGGTTGATCAATTATTGGTAGGCTCTTTTAGAGCCTAGAAATGGTTTCATCATGTGGCTTCGAAAATTTTAGTCATTTGGTGCGCAGATCGTGTAAATTAATGGTTGATTTGCTCTATTAATATCGAGACGACTGTGGAATCTTTATGTAACACCGATTTCTTCTTCAAGGAGTATGGTCGCATTTGAAGCTACGAGTTTTAAGGTGGTGTACGACCGATCCTTCTGCAAACAAAAGGCTTTTGAATTCAGTCTCAAGTGGTTTATGGCTACTGGTCAGACAGTTGCGGATACCGTCTATACATGGCAGTCTAAGGTATAGTTCAAGTCACTGTACAAATGAAGATTCGCCCCATATTTTTGTGTCATATTTTATTTATTTATTAAAAGACATGTGAAACGCATGTAAGCGTAGTGTTACACTAAGAACCATGCAACCGGCATATAAAAAATTTGGGTGAAAATTGCATGTAATTATGTTCGTTTTTTGCGCTAAGCGACAGTAGCGCATAACTCACTTGTTTAGGTTTCGAAGGAAAAGTTCTACTTATTCCCAGTACCTGAAGATCCTATTGCGCTTCCCAAAGATCTGGATTCGAATCCACTACGTTGTCCCATTCGTGTTCAAGTTCAACAAGACATTATTCCCAGCAATATGGTAGGAGTACAGCTTCTTTATAAGAATTTGTACAAGTTGTAATTCCCGTTTAGTTGGAAGACACTCTACAACACCTGCTGTTTTGTTTCGGATTTTGTTCCATGGAATGTTCTGTGGAACATGCTATGGCGACTCGGAGCTCTTCGTTCTCAAGTCGAGAGCAATCATTTGGTGAGCTGTTGTTAAAAATTGCGCTGAGAAGTTTTCTCAATTTTTTAAAAATCGTCTGCTTTCAGAAAGCAAACCTTGGGATTGTTCATCGCTTTATATTCATCAAACTGGCGGCATGTTCGTATCCCTGGAACGTCCGGCTGACAAGCCAATGTTCTTTTTCTGGGCATGGAATCATATGCTCACGAAGAAGTACAGACAGGACAGGTGACTCTACTGTCTCGAAAAATTTTCTTTTGTCTTTTTTTCAACTTCTCTAGAGCATTTTTGGCACTGTGTGGTTTTCATACGTCACCTTTTTCGCCCTAAATAATTTTGTGGTTACCCTTTTCAGTCAATGTTCGGAAGCGTTTCAAGACTACATGCTCCGAGAATTCCGAAAGTACTGTGGTAATGTGGAAAATAAACTCTATGAGTTCTATACATCAATGTTACAAACGCTCAATTCTTCTGCCTCAGCGACTCTACCAACGGCTGATTTGTTGTAGAAGGTATGCTGATTTATTACTAGGGATGATTTGACTAATGGAGTGCAGAACTTGGGGGAAGTACGTAGTTCCTGCCGTTGTTGTGATTGTAATTACTTTTGGTATTGTGACCGTAGATCACATGGTTACTGAAGTTGACTAGTAGTTAAAGGCGCTATCGCAGTACTTTCTTGATACCCACCACCATTTGTTGTAACTGTAATGTTGAAAAATACTTTTGAGTTGAAAAAACTCAGTCAAACTGTAAATATGAATATCATTTGATTATTGAATTACATGAACGCCATGCGTCTACTATAGTCGTGGAGGCTTTCGAGCTTTACATTAGCATGAGTTGGTTAACTTTCCAATTAAGCAAGTAGACTTTCAGCTTAACCTCCGAGTACAATCGCCTATCGATGTCCTATACACACAACTCATATTCACAACACGCTCAGCAATGTAGCCATCTAGATTCTTTATGAATAACTGACTTTGTACTGTTATGTTTGAATTAACTGACGATTCCTAATCATTAGATACAGCCTTTGAATACCTACTATTCGTCTGTGATTATAGCTAGCCTCACACAATTTTTTTCCCACTGTTTCTGCTCCTTAAGCCATATGTGATCATAACCACAACTGTTTTTTGCCGTTTCAATTCACGCGTAGCCTATAATGTATGTGTGTTCGTTTACGAGTATTTGATGTTGTCTGCTACTGATTTTTTGCTTTCTAGTCATTGAGGCCATTGCAAAGCGTACGCTTTTCCTTTATTTGTTAGTTTGTTAAATGAAGTTGTTTCGACAAATGAAATATTTTGAATCGTGTGGATAATTTTTGTCCCGTTGGGTTTCATCCATATGTACCGAATTTTTCATTTCTCCGTCAATTTTCGTACAGTTGCACAAGCGGGCTATAATGCTACCCGGCTTATAATGCATCTTTACTATAGACGTAATACCCTAACGCCGTGAGAAATTTCCGCTGAAGAATCTCACAGTTGGTCCGCAATACGCAACAACCTGACGTGCGTTTGCGTGACGTTTCTATGCAAAACTGTCGATTAGTTAGCAACCTGAATGTTTCTAAATCTGTTTATTTGACTGCATGTTGTCTTTTGCGTGGCAGCTTCAATATACCATTGATTCAAACTTCGAGAGTTCTTCCATTCTCCAGGGAACGAAAAATCGTACATTCCTTATTAGCGCGGGTCGCTCTGTGCGGTCAGCTGCTCTTTGCAGTGATTGTGTGGTTTACAGGGGGGAAAGAAATGAAATGCCTTTGCGTAGTTCATTGCGTGAGATGCGGGGTAGACGAATGCTTACTATTTTTCGCTCTCTCATCGGAATCATTTTTTGGCAGGTAAGCTTCTTTACCTCCGGTACTGGTTAGTGATNTCGATTTCAAGATGAAATATGCACAATTAGTGATGGGCCCTGCTGGCAGTGGCAAGGTAAGTTCACGTTTTCCGTATTCTTTGCCTCTATGTGCGATAACATATGTAGGACTATTTCAGTCTACATACTGTACAGTCATGCATAACCACTGTCAAAATATAGGCCGTTATGTACAAGTGGTTAACCTCGACCCTGCAGCTGAAGCGTTCAGCTATCCCGCAGTAGCCGGTTTGTTGGATTTTAAAGTTTACTAATATTTTAGGGTCTGATCTTCCTTATAGTTTTGCGGTGTGAATTGAATTGGAAGCTCTGCGGTTCATATATATTTTTGTTCTCAGATGTCCGTGCGTTGATAAGCGTTGACGATGTAATGGAGGATAAAGAACTGGCACTTGGTCCAAATGGTGCTCTCGTTTTCTGTATGGAGTAAGTGTTCGCAGTGCTTCTTCCTTTTTTCTGTGCTGTGCTGTTATCTGATTCGGTCGTACTTTTATACTTCCAGATATCTTGTTCAAAATCTGGATTGGTTACATGAAGCGTTAGCCGAAGGCGAAGATGACTACTACATCTTCGACTGTCCAGGACAAATTGAATTATATAGTCATTTGCCGATCATGCGGCAACTTGTTGATGCCTTTAGGTATCTAGTCATTGACTTGAATTCTTCGTTTTTCTAACAGTGGTTTGTATTCAGGGCTTGGGATTTCAATGTGTGCTCCGTATTTCTGATTGACACTCATTTCGTGCTTGAGGCTGAAAAGTAAGTGCTTATTTGCTAGAAACAATCAAATTCCATGATGAAATTCAAACATCAGAAGGCTCTCATTTGCCTCTTTCAATCCTTTTCGGCAGGAGCCCATGCATTTGCAATCCATAAGGATTATAACCGTTTGCTGGGGCGTATTTTTTTTATTCGATGCAGCAAACGCCGAGGAGATAGCCTATGTGCAAAATGAGTTTTATGCCAACTAGCCGGTTCCATGAGATTTAAACGCCTATTGGGTCCAAGGACGTTTTGATAAGGAGTTTGGTCTTTAGCACACATGCATGACATCGGTCACTTGGCAAAGTTTCATCTCCATCCTAAAAATCCCATGAAAATAATGCCAGTCATGCGTTCAAATACGTTTGGCCTTTTCATTGTTGAATCACTATTCAGGTTCATTGCTGGGGCTCTTACGGCTCTATCTGCTATGGTGGCAATTGAAACGCCATGTGTGAATGTGCTCACGAAAATGGATCTACTCTCAGAAAGGAATAAAGCACTGGTGGGTGATTGGTGATGAGAAAATTACGAAAAACTTTCAAAGTTATCCAGTCTTTGCTGCTCCGATTCTTAATTATCTTCTGCAACATCTTGACTTTTCTTTTGGACCCTATTCTGTCGAAGCTGACGTATAACCTAATTGTCTGGTCATAACTAATTCTTTTGATTCATTGTTAGTTCATATTCATTGTTCCCCTGGTCCTTTCCAATTGTGAAATAAAAAGGTTTTTCTTTTTTCCCCAGTGACGTGGAGGAAGTCTACTAATCAGTAGTTAATGGCAAATGTACTAACCACCCAAATGGTTGCCATCTGCTTTTATAAACCTTTTTTCGATTGAATTCGATTCCGTTTTCACGTCACCTATTAGAAAATAGTGCTGTTTTTCAGGTAGACGACTTTTTGGAAACGGATACAAGGAGTATAGTAGAACATGATACGCCACACATGTGGAATGAACGCCATCGTCAGTTGACTAGAACTATTGCACAGGTTAGGAGAGGCTTTAGAAGAGCTTTTCGGACTTTCTGAACGAAAGCTTTTCAGGTGCTTGAAGACTACTCCATAGTCAAGTTTGTATCGTTAAATTGTGACGATGAAGAAAGTATAGAGCAGTTGCTACTTGTAATTGACACTACAATCCAGTATGGCGAAGATTTGGAAGTGAAGGACAGATACCCTGAAGAGCAAGATCCTGAAGACGCGAGCTATGCATAGATTTCCCAAAAGTAATATCGAAAATGTTTGAGATCTCATATGTTTATTGTTTTTGTTGCGCTGTCGTTGTTATTTGTTGTTGCCGGTCTTTGTCTATAAAAATTAGAGAGATACTGCCGTTTTCCGCTTGAAAGTTACTGCTCGTTGTGCAACGTATTTTTGTGAATTTTTCTTGTAAACTTCTATATCGTGGATTTTCCTTTCAGATTTTGATGTCATGGTAAAGGCTGAAGAACATGAAACGACTGCCGGAAGTGAGAGCTCAGGGTGAGTTGTCTTCCTCTTGTGCAAAATGCCCAAAATCACCAGGAAATGAAAATGTTTACATTCTTGTCGTTTTTGTCGTTGTCTTTTTGGGGAAAAGAGGACTAGGAAGGGTGAACCTTCAGAGATTTATCAGGGTTACCCTAACACGCTAACATTTCGTCCTGGTGTCGTAAAAGCATGTGTATGTAGCGTCTTTTAACTCGCCTATGTATTGTTGTGTTTTTCAGTGTTTCCGAAAAATCGGAGGAAAAAACGGAGACAAAGTATGAAGAGGTAATTGTTTAGGATTACTATTCAGTAATGTCCTAGATATTGACTCCAAAAAACTCTTGATGTTTATAAGAAGGATCAAATCCAGACATTCCAGTCATGACGCCTCAGTTGAGTTACTGTATGGCTGGATCCGTACATCTGCAAAGTTTGACCAATGATATTTCTCAGAAGGCCTCTCTTGAGGCAATAAAGCAGGCTGGTAGATGCGGGGGTATAAGCTGAAATTTCCACAATAATTCACGTTTTTCGCAGGATTTTCTGGAAGCTTCCTTGGAGTTTTTTGCAAGACACTACTCACAAGTATACGCATGACTATCCTAGACTATCTAGTTAACTTGCCGTTTACCCATATTCAAAACGTACTTTTTTGATTTCGAATCCAGGCACTGACCTAATGTCCGTTTCTCCTGTTGTTTTAGTAAAATTACAAGCTTGCTACATCCAATTTAGCTTGAAAACTGGGACGAACAACTATTGCCGTCGGCTAGCTAGATAAACTAGAAAGTGAACCGTCGTTTACTCTGAAGGGGATTATCTTGTATTTACAGAACAACATAGTGAATTCTTCGATGTTGCCGTTGCCGTCATCCGGTGAAATGATGAACGAGACGGATCAGGTTGATGAGCAGGAACATGAATCTCCAACAGGCTCGGTACACAGTAGTCGAGGTATTTGAGTTTTTTTCTTTTCCGCTCCCTTTATGGCTTCACTGATATTTTAGCTTCTTCTCCTCATGCGTCCCTGAGCCAAAGCGATAATATTGGTGAGGGTGGTGGCGGCAGCAATAGTGGTGGCATTTTTGGTACAAAAATCGAGAGGAGTACTTATTCTCGGCGAAAACGAGCCAGCGGACACATTGCATCTGTGATCTGCCAATTTGTGGACACTTCTGGAAGGGGTATTGTGGTAGGTTCCTTTTGTAGTAATATTTATTTTGAGTTTATTTTTGTAAAGGGATGAAGGTGATGTAGTGGCTCGTGGACACCATCACTCATGCATGGTCAGGGGATCAAATACCGGGTCGATATCAGCTTAGTCTAAACAAGCATTTCATCACTCCGGGGTCGTTCAATTGGTGACTCGGTGTGAGGATCAAAGCACTGACTTCTACACCAGCCGGCCATTGAAATCGTCGTCACGATTCTGATTTAAAGTTGAATTTGAGGGCGCATCCCAGAATGGGATTGGTTAGCCCCAAAAAAGTTGTCCTTTTTCTCTTTCGTTTTTTTTGTAAAGCTAGCATTAGCTTTGATTGGAATCAGTGGGTGTGTAATAGATGTGTAGTAGATGTCCACGTCTGGAGTGGTGCCAGAGGGTTGGCCTTGGATGTTGGACGGTCAGGGGGTGTTTTTGTTTGCTTTGTACGGGGGTCGAGTTCATGCTGCGTGACACGGTTTTCAAGACCCTCCCGCTTTCAATAAGTTGTTTAAGAGCCCTTCAAACAAGTGTCTTAGATTCTACTCTGAAAGTTCAATGGTTAAGCATAGTTTGTTGTTGCAGTGTAAACAACGAGCTATACTTGGGTACAAGTTTTGTATACGGCATATTCTCCTGGATCCGTCTGCACCATATAAACAATGTGAACATCACCGGAAGCCGAAAAGTGAGTAGGTTTGATTTGTGAGGTTAGGTCCTTCATGTAGAATCTTCCTAAGTGATGGGTCTCTTGTTTCGTTTTTTATCTAGCTTTTCTTACGAAAGACATACAGGTAAAAAAGATCTCGCTACTCGCTGTACCAATGCCATCAGAAAGGATAAAGAAGAAAATTTCTGTAGCACTCATCTGATCATGAACGGAATGAAGGTAAGAAGGACCAATCGTTCCGTTCTATAGTCTTTTATTCTAATCGGTTCATCTTTGAGGAGGCCAAAAAGAAGGAGAAGGGCGCGATCGCAGCTAATGGAGAAGGTACCGAAATGGTTGAGTCTTCCAGCGGAACTTCAGCTATACCCGTTGTTGGGGATCAGCATCAACTAATGTCCCAATCTATTGCTGATGTAACTTCGAATTCATCTCCCATGTCGCAGGACGTTCTTCAACCCTCAACGCCATGCGGAGAGATGATTGCAGCTTCATCTATCCCAAGTCCACCACGAGCTGCCATCGTATGTACTGCTGCCAGCGTCATGTCTCGGCCACCTGCTACTGTACCGACCGCTGTGATACCGGCGCTGTCCTCCACGCGGCAGTCGCTTCTGCCACCGCCGCCTTCATCAACGACTACCCTTAGGCAATATGTGCAAAGTAACGCACATCTGACGGGAAACGTTCTTCGACAGCAGCTGGCTCCACAGACGAATAACACCTTCGCGCCACAGCGTCAACAAGCTCTGTTCCCTGTTGCCATTGCCGGCTCAAGAGACGCCCGTCAACCGGTATTGGCTCAGCTCAACATGGAAAGCAAGCGGCACTTTGGAGTACCACCTGGAATCGTGGCATCAATGGAAGGCACTGCAGTAGCTCCCGGCGGTGCAGGTAAGAAGGTGCTGCTGTTAGACAATTGAAGACTGATTATGGTCATTTCAGAAGTGGTAAACAATATGGCAACCGCTCTTCCCCAACAGGTTGTTGCACACGATGATGGTCGAGCGCTTATACAACAGGTCCCAATGACCGGGTATCAAGGAGTGGAGCAACATTCTATGGTTCCTGCACCATTAGGCACATCGATGGTAGTAGATCCTCAGTTGGGAGGTGCTCCTGTACAGATGCAGCGTGTCCCAATTGCTGTCACTCAGCAGCCGATCCCTCAGCAGCTTCAGCCACTGCAGCAGCAACAACAACCGCAACAACAGCGTGTTCATCTTAGCCAGGTTGGTAATGCGCTTCAATATATGTACCATAACTAGCACCGTCCAGATTGTAAACATGTCATTCACTACCGTATAAACTAAATTAATATTCAGCGTCAGATTCCCCCGGGAGCCCTTGCCGCATTACGAGCTCAAGCCCTAAGAACTCGTTCGCTGTCATCGACGGCAATACAACGGAATCATCCGCAACTGGCCGCAAAGGTGAGATGAGGTTCTTTTTTTTNTTTTTTTTCCACGTGAAATAAGAAGAAACTCTAAGTACATGCTTGCGTCAAAGAAGGAGAGTTTTTGAACGTCAAATGTGGCTTTCGACCATTTCATAGTGAAGTCCACCCACCTTTGACAATGAACGTAACGCAGTAGTCGATCTGCTCTTTCGAATGAACAGCACATTCAATTCCCACACGGGAAGTTTGTGGCCCAGCTCAAGCCTGAAGATGGCTGAGGGCAGAGTTCATGAGAATTTTTGGGGTACTATGTTTCAAACGAATATGGAAAAGATAGTCCAGATTAGTCCAAAAGAAATGAAGAGAACGGGGGAATCGGTGTAGCCATAGGAATATAAGGCTTCGAATAGTTGGATTTTTAGAGGTTTACGTCGTTTGGCACAATCCCTCACATCGCGCTGCCCATTCAACGCGGTTTACGAGCTGAACAACTCGTTCAGGTGATCGAGCAACCCATTCCCTATCCAGATAATAGAAGCCCGATCAATGACGCCATGCTGGTCAGAAGAAAAATCAGATCCACAGTTCGACGTCTAATAGTAGCGGCGTCATCTATAGGGCTTCTATCAACTGGTTGGGCGGTGGGTTACTCGCTTCCCTGGACGAGTTGACCAGTTCGGAAACCGCGTCGAATGGGATGTCAGGGATCGCGCTAAACGACCGCCTCCCATTTTTAGAGGTTAGACGGGCTTGCGAGGGTATAGGCGGGTAGGGTAAGTTGCCTGCGTGCAACGTGTGGGTCCCGGTGCGAATAGTGCAACCTTCACAGCCTCCACACCTCGTGAAGCCGTGTCTAAGCCGTTTTTTGGCCTGAAAACGTCCCCTTCGCTAACATTTGACTCTTAGCAAAGAGCAGAGACTTTCAACTCAAGTCCTAGTGCCTAACAATTTACGGTGCTGTTATGTACCGAATAAGCCTATACTTTTCGGAGAAGGAAAAGGTGCAGCTTGCTGTAGGGATTCATGTTAGAATTCTACCCTTCCTTCGCATAATGAGTTCTCATTGTTCTTTAGACATTTCAGCTGCTGGAAGGTGGTGCGCGAGGTATGCGCAATTCTCGTTATGCTGCAGCCTTGGCGGCAGCGATCGCGCGTCAAAATCAACCTCTTCCATGGAACGCTCCACCGATAGCACGTCGAACTCCCCCTTCTAGTGATGAGGAGGATTTTGGAAAGACGTCCAATGGGAACAAGGTAGTACAAAAGGGTTTGTTGACATGTTTCTAATTATTTTACTCAGGTAATCCGTTTGCGAATGAAACGCCAGCGTCGACGGATGGTAGGCGTTTACCGTGCAATCCCGGAAATTGACGCGATGTGCCGCGCCGTTGAAGATGCAGATTATGATAAAACGGACCTTTTTCCACTGGGTAGAGTTTTTTTTTTGAGCTTCATGCGCAGAGATTCTTCATTCTACTACTTGTGATTACAGCTTACTTCAGCTTTTTTGAGATTTTTTCCATGGCATTTGTGATACTTTCAATTGAAGGCCTCGAGCCGTCCGATGATGAAGATGCGACATATCCATCGTCTTCGATTCTTCCTACAGCGAGCTTGGCAGTGTCTAGCTACTCTGGTGACTTATCCACGCAGTTGTATCTGATCAAGAAACAACTTCGATTGGAACGGCATGCCTTATTGAAGCAGGTGCGACTAACATTTGTTCTTGCTTTGCAGTCAAGCTTACCCCATTAAGCAAAAACGTCCCTTAAAACTCATTCACTCATAAGCATTATTTAACGAGCACCCTCTTAACCCCAAATATAGCCCACTTTTTCGTCCTCTTGAGATGGAAAACTAGTTAAAGGATCGCAGCTGCAAAAAGAATAACAGAGAACAAGAAAAGAGGAGGGAAACATTGCCTGATTACTCGGCGATCAGCTGATTGTGTGTGGGTCCTCAAGCAATATTGTGATCTGTATCGCCTCGACATTCGTCTTGGGCGTGGCATCCGGCCCATCGATCGATGATGGGGAGCCTTTAATGCCCAGCACTTGGGTTTTTGAGCCCGATAGCGTCCTTTCCATTACCATTGAAGACCACTTGTAATCCTCGGGAAAAATCTAGGGAACCATTTTATCGTGAACTGTGCCTTTAATTTTTACTCTTCCAGCTAATATCGAGTTGCACTGCTGTAATAATTGTTCTTTTGTATAGGCACAACTGAATGCTCACATAATGTGTGCATCGCGTCGTTTACCACTGAGCGTTGGTGCTGCGTTACGTCAACGTTCGGATCCCTCACCGCCACCTCTCCAGTTAGCTCCAGCAGCTTTACGTCGGTGTTGTCAACTGGACAATACCAATAAACAACGGTGGGTTTCCTGTGAAAGTTATGCTTCTGAGGTCGAAGGGAATTCGGTGTTTTTTTCACATTCGGGTTTGATTGTACATCTCCCTACTCCGATTACTAGTAATCTTTGAGTAAAATCATTCCGTGCAGATGTGAACGTGCATGTTTACCGATGTCAAATCACTGCCTCCAACACGTGCTGTACAACGTGCATCAACGTTTGTTCGCTTTCTGTACGCAGTCGTTCTGTCGTAGGCCAGTGAACTCCATTGACGCACTGCTTTGGGATGGAAAATGTGCACTACACAGGCAATCCAGGGAAGATAGATACGGTACAGCTTCTACCAACTTTTACTCTTACAGAACCACTTTAACTTCCTTCTATTTATTTATTTCCTATTACTATCGCCTTCTATAGCTGATTTGTTAAAGGTCCGGCACCTATATATGACACCAGTTCATTTATGGGTTCATCGTCGTCAATTGGTTCACCGCTTGGTGACGAGTCTTCAGCAGCAAGTCCTATGCCCCAGACAGATCCACATCATGTCCTACTCACTGATACTACAGCTCCAATGGATTGTCAACTTTCTTTGGATGTTTCGCACTCATGGGATGATGTTACGGAGTTCCTGATGTCTGAAGGTTTCCCAGTTGATTCTCCCAATTCGCAAGTTACGCCATCATAGTCGTTTTTTTTTTGTAATTTTTCGCATCATTACAAAGCTGGTTTTAGCTTGTTTCCATCATTACTGTCAAACTGTCAAAGTTTGCATGCAGTCAAGTTTTTCTATGAAGCAGTTATAAATGTGGGCAGGTACATGTGAGTTACAAACCCTTCGCCTGCCTTTCACGGCTGGTAAAAAGCGTTTTCATGGAAGGGTTAGGACCAGCCAGCTTTAACGTTTTTGGAATAGGCGAGGCTCGAATGCACCTCTCCACATTCATTCTTTGCCTTCTTGTGCACTTCTGGAACCCCATTGAGGTATCAATCTCTGGTCTAAATAGCATACGCGTTGTTGTTTTTACCTCGTTATTGTTTTCTGAAAATGATGGCGAAAATTAATGGGAATTGACCCCAACAGGTGTGGGTACGATATCGTTCATAAAACGTACGATAGAGTACGTTAGAGCTTATACGTAAAGCTCTGATCAGTGAGTGAAAGGTCTCCGAGTATGGGAGGCATCGAATCTTGGGAATGACGGGCTCCAGAATCACTTCATAAGATTGATAAGATTCGTTCCTGAGTCGTCGTGCTACACCTGGATAGCTCTTCCTTTGTGGTTCAGGTACTTCTAATTGTGTATCTGATAATGGTTTTTAAAATACGTTTTACGTTAGTAACCGCTAGACTACTTTTATTTTTCAACAGGTCATGTTTATTCGAAACAGGTGAACGTACTGATTTGCTTCGTTATTGCATTGTTCTGAGATCCTCATATTGAATTCGGTGTTTTTTCCAAGATTTATTTTTCTATTGAGCAATTCGTTTGGAAAATTTGCTTGTTACTGGATTTGTTAATAACCAGTATAATTCTTGTTTGTTGTAGCCCAGGGAAAGTGAACAAAGGGCATACAGTTCCCTCGGTGTAGACCTAGACCTTTACAGTTTCCATCGGCCATGGTAAGGGAGCAGCTAAGAGGAACCGTTCGCCATTATAACTAAGATACTCTGTAAGTAGGTGCTGGGGTAGCTTTTGGGGGGGCGCGCGATTCACGCGCCAATATAATGAGGTCATCGCGTACGCAGCATCGTTCCAGTACCTTCCTGTTGAGATGGACCAAATAAATTTGCAGTAGTTTACGGCTTCACCATG